ATGGACTTCTAAAAACTTTGTTATCGGAGATGTGTACATGTCGACAGTCAGGCTAGAAAATCACTCAAGTGAAGCAATCGTACAAGGCTATATATAGCAGGTACAGGTGACCAAAAATTTTCGATTAAATATGGCGGAATCGAAGAAATATGGCGGACAAAGGCGTACAGGAATGTAGTAAGTCGTACAAAGATGAAAAATGATGGCTTTTTAAGAGTTCATGTCAGCTTTAAATACCAGACACACCTCTACCAAGGATCATCAACAAGATCAGTGAACAATTAAAGAACATTTCTAAATCAAATTCTGGGAAATTAACTTTTTATAGTAATATAATTGATTTAAATGAATATAAATTACAAAACTATCTAGAATTACCATTGAAGAAATCTGAAAGGACAATCGTAACAAAACTAAGAATTAGTGCTCATACCCTACATATTGAAATGGGGAGATACTCAAGGCCACCTATTCCTAGAGAAAAACGTGTATGTCATTTTTGTAAATTTTTTATTGAAAATGAAAACCATTTTGTACTTTATTGTCCTAGTTATGATCAATGTAGATTACAATATTACGATATATTCAATGCACAATGTTACATGAAGGAAAACCCTATTATTGACATTATCAATCCTACAAGTATTAGAACTGCTAGGAGAGTTTGTAACTTTTTGAAAAAGTGCTTTGATATTAGGAAAGAAAACCTTCAACAAACCTGATATGCTTTCTTTGATATTTTATTTCATGTACATGTATGTTAATTGTTGTATTCATGACTATATGCCAATGTATGATGGTGTTGTCAATAAATGAATTGAAAATTGATTTCAATTGCTCATTATCGATTATACCTATGCAAATAGTTTGCCTGCTTTTTTCCAAGAAGAGAGAAAAATATCTTCAAATGAAATGAATTTTAATACATAGCAAGCAAAGCTCCAAGATACATCTGCCTATATCGTATCTTCACAAGTAGAATAATCTCTTAATACGAATGCAAACAGTTGTCAGTGAGATGTGCAGGATTATAGAGAATTGCATAAATAAAGATGGTTTTAATTAAATATTTTTTATATTTTTTAACATAAAATAACGCCTTTCCATTTTCCTTTTCAAGTAGGCCAGTATTACGAGTGCGAATGGGGTAAAACCCCCCCCCCCCCTTCACATACACACTTTTGGGGGAAAGTCTTCAGTGCTACAATTTAGATATTATAATGAACTATTGGGTGCTTGGTTCCTGAACATTTTGTTGCAGTGTGTAAAACTGTGGTAAATTATTGCATTTAAACAAAGTTTTACCGAGAAGTCCCCCCACGAGTTTGGCCAGTAGAGTGGGGGTGGTGTTGGTGGTTAGAGGGGGGAGGGGGGGGTTAAAAGCACAGGCCTGTTAAATGCAAAATGATGGTTCTTCAAAAAGCGTTATATTAACCCTTTTGGAAAGGCGTAATAACGCATTTTAGAAAGGCGTAATAACGCCTTTTTGGAAAGGCGTAATAACGCCTTTTAGAAAGGCGTAATAACGCCTTTTGGAAAGGCGTAATAACGCCTTTTAGAAAGGTGTAATAATGCCTTTTGATTTTTTTTCTCTAGATTGATCCTAATAGGCTTTCGTACTTCTCAATCAAAAGTTAGAAGGAAAAAAATTTACAATTTTGAAAAGTAGCTCAAACTTCAAGGTCAAGTTCACAAGATAAAAAAGCATAGTGTATTTAGGAATTTCTTGTCACAAGCAATGCACACGTTTAATATGAAAGCCCTGTGTCTTCTCATTCAAAAGTCATGACAAAGGTTATAGTTTTTGAAAAGTGGGCCAATCATCAAATTCACGAGGTAAGAAATCACACTGTATTTAGAAAGGTCTTGTCACAGATAATACACATGTGCAGTATGAAAGCCCTAATCTTGTTGTGTATTAATGGGAAATATTAAAACTTTTATCCAGAAAAATAATTTTTATTCAGAGTATAAATGTGTAACCGGAAGTAGAACTCTTCAGTGTATAAATTACCAAAGTTACTAGCCAACTCGGCTTAAAGGAGTAAACTATCTCCAGTTATCAATGATCAACCCAGGTAAGGGGATTTCTGAACTATGGTCAACGCTAAATGAAAACACAGTTGTAAGTTTTATCAATTTAATAAAGTGAGAATTAACCGTTGTAAATGATAACAAATAATAAATAATGATCAAAATTTAACAAACAGAAAAGTCTTTGAAAATGGCACAGGATAAATGAAGCTTTATCAAAAATAAAATGTAATTTAATCTGAAAAAATGAATCTCAATAATCTCAATGAATAACCTCAATAAATAAATAATTGAAAAAATGTAATGAAAAATGGGAGGAATGTGGCAAACTTATGAAAAATAATCTATGTCCCTACTGGGCCTCCACACCCATGAAAATAGCCAAAAATCCTAAAGAGATGAAAAAAAATGTAAAAGGAATGAGCTACATCACCCAATATGACACTATCAACACTCCAGAGTTAATCTGAAAATATCAATACTAATTCTAGGCTCTAAAAATAACTGACCCAGAAAATAAACAACACCCAAAAATATATGATAAATAGTGGTTCTAGAAAATAAACCTGTTATCTACATATCCCTAGACCAGGCTGGACTTGGAAAGGGGAAACTAAATTTACTTTAAATACCCTACATCCTAACTGTTTCCTAACATGTGAAAAACGTGAAACTAAATCTAAGCTAAAACCTAGAGAACTGTTAAACCATAAGGTTTTCTTAGTCCACTAAGTATCTAATCAAATAGTGCTCATAAACCATAAGGTTTTCTTAGCACAGAAAAGAGGAACTAACCATGAGGCTGTGTTCCCCAACCCAAGTCCTGCCTGGTCTAGGGATATGTAGATAACAGGTTTATTTTCTAGAACCACTATTTATTATATATTTTTGGGTGTTGTTTATTTTCTGGGTCAGTTATTTTTAGAGCCTGTAACAGGAAAGGAGAAAATGCATGGCTGGACCGGGAATCGAACCCGGGACCCCTGTATCACTAGTCAGGTGCTCTACCTATTGAGCTATCCAGGCCGATATCCACGGCCCAAACCATTACATTCCTCCCTCCTTAAATGGTCTTCGCCCTCGAAGACACAACCCAAGTTCTTATTGCCCCTGGCAGGACTTTCACCTGCAATTCCAGGGGTGGTCAACGGCACCAAATCTGTAACAGGAAAGGAGAAAATGTATGGCTGGACCGGGAATCGAACCCGGGACCCCTGCATCTCTAGTCAGGTGCTCTACCAACTGAGCTATCCAGGCCGATATCCACGGCCCTAACCATTACAAATGTTAGAAAGCAAAACTCCTTCACAAGTATCGTCATTCCGAACTAAAAGTTGCGTACAGAGTTTAGCAAATCGAGCACACTCGTGTTATGTACACAGTTTTTGTAAACAGGGCACGAGTTCTGTTATTGTTGATGTTTATAATTCACCGGGTGCGTTCATTCGTCACAGTCTGCTTACCACAACTGCACGGACTGACAATATATTGCGTGTTTGTTTTGCTTTCGAACATGTCTACTCTGAATTTTCTGGATTATAGTATTCATATTTTTCATTTATACACAACAAGATTGCCACTTTTCCTAAGGATTAAGAATTAATTTGTGAAAGTACAAGGATGTGTCAATCAAACCCGCCAAAAAATTTGAAATGTTAATATCTTTTATATGAAATAAGATTTTTAATAAAGAACTATATGCGGTATATTGCATATGTTTGCCCCCACAAAAGTCAAATTTTGAAAACTTCCTGAAATGTGCTGAATTCAATAAATTGTACGAGAAATATAAGTTAACAGAAAATATTATAGTTCCAGAGCAGTGTATTCACAATTTCTGTTTTTATGACGTCACAAACTAGTCCGATTTTATATCCTTTTTCAGAAAGAGGACAAAATGGACAAAATTTCAACAATTTAAGCTTTAAAATTTATAGAGCGCATGTGTGTTCAGGAACAATATTGACATATTTCATTGATATTATCATTCTACACATTATATCAAAATATTTATCCTGAACACACATGCGCTCGGTGACTTTTATTTAAAATATCGACGAAATATGTACATTTTTCTGCAAAATTCATAAAAAACTGAAATTTACGTCATATTTGTGACGTCATTACGTACATATGACGTCATTACTTATGAAATTATTCAGTGCTTTGAAGTCAGCATATACTCCCGTGTTTAAGGTCAAGATCTAGTAAATTACTTTAGGCTAATTTTTTGGTGCTAGATCCATTATGACGTCATAATCAGTTTCAACTTTCTTTTTCCCGTACTTTACGGCTTTAGCAGACTTATGTAGAAAAATAGGGTGTTTTCATGACATTCAATTTGAAATCATATGAAAAGTAAACCGGATATCTATATTAAATTTGATATTGATTTAAAGAAGGGACCATGAACATACTAATAACCGTTTTCTGAGAGACTGTAGGCAATCTGGCTACATTTCTTTTGTCATATACGAAAAAAACTCCCAAGTTCATGACTGGATTTCTTAATTTTTCATTGAAAAAAACAGTTTAAAATACAGTTTTTCATCTTGTTTCCGTACAAATTATGCCCCGAAACACCTTACTTGACCAAGCTAAAGTTGTAAAGCATCAATAAAGGAATTTATTTCTCGAGTTTGATAAATCTGTAGGCACCCTTCATTTACTAGATCTTGACCTTAAGGACTTAAATATTACTCCATCAAAGTTTGATTTTGGGGGGCAAATGTTGGTTAATACCGCATATAGTTCTTTTTGTGTGAAATGCGGGTGGATAGACTGACAGACGAATGCGTTTAAATGTCCCCTCGCTTTTGCAAAAGCGGGGGGAGAAGAATTGCATTTTAAACCGGTCCCGTTTTGTTCGAATCCCCATTCCCCAGTCTTAGCCATGACACTTTTTTGGACGAGTTAATGAATTTTGCAACCCGGAAGTGATGATTTTGTTTTAACATGGAGTGTCAGAACAGTGAAAGAGAATCGAAACCGCAGCAAACATAATCTGACAAAATGAAAGAGTCTTCAGGAATATTTGGATTGATCAGTTGTGTTTATTTGCTCCTTTGTTTTCTTGTTGTACACTCAGAAAGACATAAAGGGACGTGGTCGTCAGGGAATTTTCTCAAGTTTGTGTCAAAATTCGGTGTCCAGAAAACCGACTTGAAAAATGAAGACGCGACACAAGGATTCTTTTACGGAAATATAACAACGAATAGCAATTCATCAAACTCGTTAACACTAGTTGTTGTTGACAGTGAATACTTCTCTCATATTTTTGGAAATGTTATTTTAAAATTAAACAAACAACATAAAACCAACATTTGTAAATCTATGTTTAAAAAAATTGATGAAGTGGCATTTGATAAAGACTGCAAACCAAAAGGGACAGAAGACTACCTTCGAAGAGTTCCATGTCCTAAAAATAAACTTTGTCTTGATGAAGACACTCCATCAAATGTAGTTCCAAACTATCAATTTACATATAAAATAATGGATAAACAAATACCAAGGTATGTCATTTTTATACTTCTTTTGATTTTTTTTCTTGCAAAGAAAATTAGTAATATGTTTACAGTGTGACTGTTGGGGCGAGCGCAGTTGTACCATCAAAAACACTTGAAAAATTGATCAGCAACTTCAAACATCAAGCCGCACAAGACATCTCGACTCGCTGTGATGTCACACGACATCACGGAGCTCATCGGAGCTTACGGAGACAGCCTAGCATCTGTTTGAAACTAGGTACTGTCCCTATAGACCTAGTGCAAATTTGGTCGAAAGTTATTTTTTGTTTCTTTGAAAGATTTCTACAAACTGAAAGCCTTTAATGCTTTACGTTATTATTTATTGATGCAAAGGACATTCGGTAGTAAAGGAATTCTGGGAATGTTTCACACAAATATTTGCCTGACGTATGTACAGATTTCATTCTGAATTTCCTTCATTCTTACATGTTTGTCTATTGAGCTTGCTGCGCTCGCTATAAGTATTTTATATTATTTCTTTCACATGTGAGTACATAAAATTTAAAAAATATATTGTTTTCATTGTTTTGCTTCTTTTGCACTTTCTATGGTTCTTAATCACCTCTGCTTTGTGCTAGTTGACTTCGTAACACATAAGTATGATTCCTTCATTTCTTTCATTTATATGAAGAAAGAAATTTTTAACCTGGAAAAGAATATTTTTGAATGCATTTTGTTAAAAGTATGTTACCTAAGATGGATTATGAATAATAAAAATTGACCATTGGAATTGGTAGCATTTTTGTCAACAATCCATGTTCTCAGATGAACGATACAACACTAGGTATTTCGATACAATATTTTTACAAATATCCCAGAAAAATTACACAATTGATGAAAAAGTGTGATTGAATAGCAAAATGAGGCTATTTTGAATAACTATTAATAAAATTTAAATCAAGCTATTCAGTTAATCAAGAGATTGTGCTGGTGACCTAGAGAAAGTAAGAGCAACATAAACATGATAAATCTGGTTCTACATGAAGTTTGTTGAGAAAATTGATTAAGACATACCGGTACACAATTATAAGTACTTTATGGTGAAATCTTTTAAAGAAAACATGAACTTCAAAGCATTTTCAATAAATGTGTATTTGCACTGCATCATGCACAATTTATCATACATGATGTAACAGAGTCCAAATATTGTTTATTAGTGAGGTCAAGTAGGAAGAAACCTCACGTTTATTAGGATCTTGACATTGTAACATTATAGGCTAATAATGTTGTATCATATATATCATATATTATTGTCAGGCATGCATATGCTGAGGCATATACCTTCACCATGGACTATGTTCCTGCCTCTCTGACACAAACTGAAAAAAAATCTCCTAGAAGTGTAACTTCATCCAGTTATTTGTATTAGCAACAATGTATACCATTAAAACTAGTTGACAGTGTCACTTAGTAAGTTTTACAACTGTTGGTATTAAAGAAAGAAAAATGAAGGGCGTTCAGTCTTTGGTCAGATTTCCGTTTTACTCTATCAGACAATCTCCCATTTGAACCTTTCTACAAAAACCATTTATAATAGGCATTGGAATCACACCTATAAACACCCAATAAAACTCCTTCAAACAAATTTTAATGCTTTGGCAGAGATGTGCAAAATTTTCTCTTGTGGAATCAGGGTGTCATTTTTTTTAGGTATTGTAATAGATTTTGTATTCATATTCATGAGAACATGGTCCTGATGATTTTAAGAAAATTGCCAGGGAAGTTTAGCCATATTATGGCAAAGTGTGCCACATACAATCTAAAATGTTTTCATCTCAACAGGAAATGTTCACTGACCCACATGGCACAAACTCCTATTCTTTAATTTTACACCCACTTGAAATTTAAACTTTTGCAACCTTTCTTTCTTTTAAATTGTTGTCAAGATGGATGGTGATAAAGTACTAATTGATATACACAGCAGTATTTTTTCCACCTGTTGGTTTCTGCAGTCAGGCATAAAAATCCTTGCCTGGAGTTGCTGTCTTCTGGTTTTGACTATATGTTAATGAAAGTCTTAATGACGTAGGAAAGGTTGAGTTACATTTTTGATATTTATGAACCCATATTCAAACATTTTGGGACATGTATATAGATATTTGTCCATTTATTCATCTGTCTGTCTGTTTAAAGATTTTTTGCAAAAACTTTAACCTTGCCCATAACGTTTGAATGTTTGAAACTATGGCTTTCATATTTCACATATGTTTTCCTTAGGACAAGATTTTTCTGTGAGAAAAACACATTTGACCTCTTTAGCATTGATCTTTAAGTTGCACCTACTTTCCAAATTATACATTTGGCAACATCTTTTCAATGTTTTGACTAGGGCTTCTGTATTGTTCATGACATAAATTTTTTTGTGCTTCAATAAAAAGGCTTCTCCATTAATCCAGACTTCTTGACTGAAAAAAAATGTTGAATACCTTTATTATGTTCCCCAAACGAAGTTGGGGAACATATTGTTTTTACTCTGTTTCTTATTAGGGTCTTCCGTCTCCAACGGAAGACCCTTCTATTATTCTATTGTTTCTTTTTCACTTTTATTATTATTCTTCCTTTTTTTTTTCTTACAATTTTTGTGCAGAAGATTTCTCAGAGATGCGTGGACGGATTTCTTTGAAATTTTCAGAGATGATGTATCATGATCTGAACTTGATTCGTTTTTTTTTAATTTTTGAAAATCCACTTCCGGTCGGGAGTTATCGCCCTTTAATCGAATTTTAGTGACCATTTTGTCGACACAAAAACTCAAAAACGACAAAAGCTAGAATGTTGTCATTTTCAGGACTAATAGATGAAATGTCGTAGTTTTGCACCAAACTTTCAAATCTTCCGTCAGTGCTTCCGGTCGACACCGGAAGCGAATTTAAAAAACCGCAATTTTTCAACTTTTTTGTTTTCCAATATTTTTCTTCTATATCAGATCTCTTAATAGTGACTCTTTTGCGAATGCAAAATATGTAATTTGTTTTAGAATTAAAAAAGGTAATCTCGAGATTTTCGTATTTAAAAATTTGAAGCGGTATTTTCAATGGCTGAATGGTTAGTGCGTCGGATTGTCACGCGGGCGACCCGGGTTCGCTCCCCCGAATGTCCGAATTTTTTTTTATCACTTTTTCTGTTAGATTTTTCGTTTTTTACTTCAGAATCGGACGGAAGACCCCTCGTTGCTCGCAACGAGATCGTATCTAGTTATTATTATTTTTCTTCTTCTTCCTGGGTACTTTTTTGTCCGGGAATGATCTTGTAAACTGTTCATCCGATGTAGGTAAAACCTTTTTAGGGTTAGTAGACATGTTATCTAGATTTGTCTAGTCAAGGTCATTTTGCGCGCACGTGCTTGCAAGAGCGCGCACGTGCAACACAAGAAATGATCAATATAATTGATATAGACTTACTTTCTCAATTTTTGATGAAATGCGTTGAAACTCATATTGTAATGATATATTAGTAGCATAGACAAGATGACATGGTCAAAATAGCAAGATCTCACGCGCATGCACGTGCGCTTTGCTCTGATTGGCTGAAACTAAAGTCTCAATATCTTTCTTATTAATCCTTTGAAATTTTGAACAAAGTCATGTATCACGATATCTTACAACATGATATATAGCAATTATCATGAAAACACATGTATGCACGTGCACTGCAATCTGATTGGCTGAAATTTTAAATAGCTATAACTCCCTCAGTTTTCAACCAAACAAGATGGGATTTGGAACATAGATAAATATAATGGACTTCTACAAGAAGGTATGGTCACCATGCACATGCATACACGTGCGTGTACGTGTGCTGCAATCTAATTGGCTGAAACTTTAAACAGCTTTAACTCCCTTGGTTTTCAACCAAACAGGATTGGAGTTGGAGCATAGAGATATATAATGGACTTCTACAAGAAGGCATGATCACCATGCACATGCATGCATGCATGTGCGTGTACGTGCGCTGCAATCTGATTGGCTGAAAATTTAAACAGCTATAACTCCCTTGGATTTCAACCAAACGGGGTGAGATTTAGAACATAGATAGATGTAATGGACTTATACAAGAAGGTATGGTCACCATGCTCATGTATGCACTTGCGTGCACGTGAAATGGGTAAAATTAAAAATACACTTGAATGAGCGTTTTTTTTTTATTACTTTTGGATTAAATACTTTAATATTTAGCATATTAAAATCTATAGATTGTGTAGACAATATGATATGGTCATTACGCACATGCATTCACATGCGCGTGTGCAATGATAAAATTTGAATGATTATAGTACACTTTTGGGTAAATGTTGATAAAGTCTCGAATGCATAGAGTTTGTCTTATTTAATTACGCTTACAGGGAATATGACTATAAAAGGGAGTTGGGGAGCGTTTGGGGAACATCTGTAACGGTCCCCGTTACAATTAGCACTAGTTTTTTGTGACCTTTGTCAGAATGACTGACTGTGGGAAATGACACACCATCTAAGTTCTAACCATTACCTGCCTAGTGTCATTAAATGATTCTTGTGCATATTAATATGAAAATCATGGGCCCAACAATAAAATAGCATTTCTAATTCCCATGACCTTGATCTTATCCAAGTAAACTTGGTTAGATTCTTGACCAGCCCCATGACCTTGATCTTATCCTGATTTTTAAGATAGGAACTTGTGTGAAGTATATGAATTATAAATTCAGAAATTGAAAAATTAGAAATACTGTATACAGGGAAATTTTCGCCCCCGTTTTATTTTCGCCCCTTTCGCCCTACCCTCATTTGGGTGAATTTAAAACGGGGCGAATTCAAAGAATACAGTATAATTTCTTAAACAAAACTATCACTGGGCGAATTTAAAACGGACCAAAATTGTTTGCAAGAGTGAAAGGGCGAAAATAAGACGGGGCGAAAATAACCCAGTATACAGTATCTTTGTAGGTTTTCAACAAAATGACAGACATATAAAAACAAGATGTCATTGTTAGCTACAGTACTTCCTTCTTTATAATTGTTGAGTGTTAACTACATGTATCAAGTCAATAATAAACCCAATAACTGAAGAAGAGTCAGATGTGTCCCCCTCGTGATCCACAGTGATTCAACTGTTACATGCACACATGTTTCCAACCCTATTATTATTCTCCGGAGCACCATTTTATCACATTTTTAGGGAAAGTGATATTGAACAAAATGAACTTTAAGCTTCTGAGCAGAGTCACAGATGTACAAATCTACAATGAATGAAAGTGAAATGTTGGATTTCCTATCAATAAGTTTCCATTTGTACAAATCATCAATCAAAAATTAGTGACAAAATTATTCAATTAATGGAAACAAGCCATAAAAAGATGATCGTCATTGGTGAGTCAGATATCTTGATTTCTGAAGTGATCGATACTTAATATAAAAAGTTTGTGGAAGTTAAAGAAAAACTTAAATACTTGAAATGATTTTTGAATTATTTGAAAGAACTAATTATTTGAACTACCAGTACTTTTAAGTAGTTCTTTCAAAGATTTTTTTTTTAAAGAGACAGAAAAAAATCATAGAAACAGACATTAATAATTTAAAAATCATTTCAAGTATTTTAGCTTTTCTTCCAAGTCCACAAACATATATGGCTTTAATGAATGGGTTTGTCCATTTTTTTTTAAAGAAAAAAAAAAAGTCCATCCCCTAAAAACAATGTTTTTTTCACCACAAAGAATTACCGATATTTTCATTGGGCACCTTATAACTGCCCTGGTCTAAGATCAAATTACCAGGTACATGACTTACTGGGGTCTATTTTTTGTATCAGTGAAAAATCAGAAATAAAAGTATTTCAATGAGAGATAGCAGTTTCCTGTGATCAAACTTATTTCCAGAGGCAAAGCCAATAAGTGCATGCTAATTTAATGTTTTATTTGTAAGTATACTAGTGGTTGTTTGTATTAGTATGACATGAAATATGTCCAAAATTTACAATTCAATACTTAATTGTCACTGTAACTTTTGAAATTTTATGTCCTATTTACATGATGATGTAAGTTGTATGAGTATAATTAACTGCTAGTTTTTAGGTGTTTACAGAGAATATATGAAATAACAAAAAGTTGCTTGCATTGTATTTACAGGTTTTGGTACATGAGTATAGTTGCCTGCTACAGAAATACGACCAATAAAAACTGTTCCTGGGTCAGTTCTGATGATGACATCACAATAGATTATGACATCTGGTTGGTTAACGGTGACCCCATTTACAAGAAATGGAACCCAGTGGAACATCAGTTTTCGTTTGAGGAACACGATATTTTTGAAACCTTTTTGGGTTTCCTCGGTGTGTACATTATCATAGTGCCCTTCTGGTTCTATGTTTATTCCAAACAGAGGCATTCTCTCACAAAGTTTTTGCTGCTCATCACATGCACGGAAGCATTTGGAATATTTTGTAACTTTATTCATGTAGCCGTATTTGCCTCCAATGGAGTAGGGGTGTATTGGATTGCCGTTTTAGGTAATGCTATAGACACGGTGGCTCAGTGTTTGTTTATGCTGAGTCTGTTACTTCTTGCCAAGGGTTGGATGATCACCCAGCCCACCATTCGGGGGAAGAAGGTCGTCTTCTCTCTGTGGGGGATCTACACACTGCTCAACTGTGTCCTGTTCCTGTGGAACCTGGTAAGTCACAAAAATACAGTCCAACCTCCTTAACTGGAACTTGATGGGACTAAAAAAATTTTTTTTTGAGATATCAGAGGCCTTGAAATATGGAGGGTAAAATATATCCAGGAAAAGTGGTGGGGACTTCCACATAACATTAACATATCTGTGGTATTCAAAATAGGATTGTGATAATGAAGTTCAGCTGTATTTCAAACACCTTTGAACATGTTGAAAATGTATCCTTTTTTTGTTGATGGTTAATTGATTATGTTGAAGTGAGTTGGAAGTCTTCCAGTTACTTTTCTATAAGAATGTTTATCTCAATTAATATTTTGAATTCTCAGATACAAGTTTTTCCTGTGGTCCAATTGACCATGATTGAGTTTGAGTTTATTGTATATAGCACATTTACATTTCTTATCATGAATCACTTTAAATACGTGTACCACTTTTGAAGGAGTTGTGGAATCTTATCAAGGTAGTAGGTACTTGACAGGTAGAATTGCAAACCTATAAATATGGGAAGAGGAGAGTAGTATGACTGAACAAATACATGGAGATACTGGAGTTATCTGTGTTATGGATGTCACAGGGTTGTCCTGTTATCTCTTGTAGCATTCTGTCACGGAAAATACGATAAAGGTTACTCTCTGTCCCACTATCTGGATACTAGTACCCCTCTCACTGGCTGTTAAACATCTTTTTTAAACTGACCAATGCCAATTTTTTTTATTAGCTTTGGGGTACCCATCTCTTATCTGCTACTCCTCTTATACCACTGAATGAAATTTGATGAGACTTTCAGAGAATCTTTATTACATAATGCCATTATGCACCTCCTATTTTACTTTCTGATCCAACACATATTTTGGGTTTCCCATAGCAAAACATGGACACTGCCATTATATTCATATGGGAGGTGGGGGCATCATTGAGTGAGCTCATTGCTCTGTAGTTTCTAACAAGGTATATGTACCTGAATGAATTCATTGACATTTACATGTAAGTATCTATTTATAGTTTGAGGTGGATGTCATTTCTAACAAGGATGAGTGGCAGACCTGGCCGGGGTACCTGATCTGTGGATTCCGGATTGTTATTATGATCTGGTTTATCGTAGAACTAAGACACACCTTCCTGTCCAGCCGGTGTCCGGAGACTCGACTACAGTTCCTCCAGCAGTTCGGAGCCTACTTCTTAGTCTGGTTTATCTATCTTCCAGTTTTAGTGATCCTCAACACACAGTTCTCCGCTCTGTGGAAGAAAAAAATAATGCTTTGTAAGTGTACCATGGGTAAAAACTCTTCATCACGTTCATATGCCATAAATATGTTTTATTGAATAATTTTGATAATTGATAAGAGAGGAGACTACTGTAAACCAACTTTTATTCGCGACGACTTTATTTCGCGATTTACCGTGAGTAAACTAGTTCGCGACGTTTTTGGAACTGTTTTTAATAGAAAAAGAGACTTTAAGGACCCGTTCGTGGCGAGAAATATTCGCGATGACGAGGCTCTCGCGAACCTCGCGAAAATTTCTCGCACGCGAATAAAAGTTGGTTTACAGTATATATTGTTATTTTTTATGCATTGTTTTATTTGTGTTATTTTATTGTTAGAACTACTGATCTGCTAGCTGAAAATATTGAAGTTGGAATTCAAATGTACAGTTGAAAGGCAAAATGATACTAGTTCATGTAGTTTGCTGGTTGTGTATTTTAGGCAAAACAAATACAGCAGATCTTCCCTCCTTCCTGATTCTGTTTTACTTGTGTATTTTAGGTATAAAAATTCAGTTGAACTCTACTCCTAGCTAATTCTACATGTGTATTTTAGGTATAACAAATGGAGCAGACCTCCTCTCTTACTTAATTCTTCTTCACTTATTGTGGCCATCACGGTCCATTCTATACCTCCTCAAAGGAGAAGATCCGATACCATACGACCTTCTAATCACAGGTAAGCAGCGTTAGATCCGATACCATACGACCTTCTAATCACAGGTAAGCAGCGTTAGAGCCGATACCATACGACCTTCTAATCACAGGTAAGCAGCGTTAGATCCGATACCGTACGACCTTCTAATCACAGGTAAGCAGCGTTAGATCCGATACCGTACGACCTTCTAATCACAGGTAAGCAGCGTTAGATCTGATACCGTACAACCTTCTAATCACAGGTAAGCAGTGTTAGATCTGATACCGTACAACCTTCTAATCACAGGTAAGCAGTGTTAGATCCGATACCATACGACCTTCTAATCACAGGTAAGCAGTGTTAGATCCGATACCATACGACCTTCTAATCACAGGTAAGCAGCATTAGATGCGATACCATATGACCTTCTAATCACAGGTAAGCAGTGTTGTAAATCACGTCATGTACGCAGAGCAGATCCATTTGACATAATAGTCATATAGTGACTGTATACATTTAGTGATTAACATAATTTTCCTTTATTTTTCAACCAAAATAGCATAGATACATAAATCTAACAACCGACACGTGGCCTGTGACTAAATTCTGGCCTTGCACATGCATCAATATTTAATTAGAATAGCTTCAGATAGTGTTCACGCGGAGCTACATGTATTATGAAATAATTTAATGCCCAATGAAAATCATTTGCTAAAGTGTCAATCTATTTTTATCAAACCGTACACATTAGTAAATTGAAAGGAATACAATGTATTTTCAAAAATAGATTATGAAAATATAACAAATATTGCTTCTGATTAATCTCCAATTCTTTTTTAAGAAATGTTAATGCACTTGTCAGTAAAATTATTGCAAAGCTCTAGTACATGATTCTTTAGTTTTAATGACTAAAACCACTATTTATGTCTGGAAAACGTGAAATTTATGGAAATGTTGTTTATAATTCTACAAGTCTTAAATTGCCTTAGTATGTTGACATGAGATGAGCAAAGTCAGGTAGAACTCGACTGATCATTCTTAACTGGATGAACAACACAAAAATAATTATTATTGAGGGCTCTGCATCTTCAATGCTGTTCTTTATGAGAATTTTTTTTAAATTCTAGTACAAATATAATATTACTTGTCTTACCCTGGTGTTCTGTTTGACAGGTGTTTTAGATGAGGATCAAGATGATAAAACTATATTTAAAAGAAAAAAGAAAACTAAATTAAATGGTCAACTGAGAAGAGAGCCCAACCACAACACAATAAAGAATGGCTTCCATAAATCACCCAATTACACGGACGAGAAGCGGCTAGCCTTACTGCCTGAGGAAGAGGAAGAGGAGGAGTTATAACAACTGCAAAGGATGCTGGGTAAAAAAGGTTATAATAATCTCTGAGGAAGAAGTTAAAACTGCAGCAAAGGATGCTGGGTAAAAGAGGCTGTGCGAGCAAGGGAGTTATAACTGGAGCAGGAGACACTTGGAATACATCGAATAACTAAACATTAAACAGTGGGTGATTCAGAGAGGAAAAGTCTTTCATTTTGATTCATTAACTTATTTTAAGTCTGTCTCTACCATAACAGGCCATCTAGATTGTGGACTTGAGGTTAGGTGGGTTTTATTTACTTGTAGAGTATAATCAGCAAAGCTGACATTAGACCCGTGTCGGATGAAGTGTTTATAACAATTTACATGAAATATTTCCTTCTCTTGCTGTCCCTGAGTGTTTTTGTCATAAAGAAATTACTTTTTATTTTCATGTCAAAACTGCTCATATTTATAGATCTCACATTCCACTGTGAATCATAGTTGACTTTCGTCTTGTCTATTTTTTAGGAGGACATTATTTCACATATCAGATTTAAATTGAAAATTTTCCGTTATTGCATAATTGAAGAAAATCTCAGATTTTCATATATTTGTCACGTTTTAATTCTGAGAAGTATGTACATCTGTATAACTTTTAGATGGTTTAATATGCATTTGATCTATGAACTGAATTTATTTAAGCTGCTTAAACCAAATTAAAAGGATCTAGAAAGGATACTGGTTTTAGTTACACTGTCAAATAAATATACATGTACCCCGGTACATGTATATATATATATATATATATCTACTCTTTAGAATGAAGCCATCACACCTCTTTAAATTTTACACATGCAGGAAATTAGAATTTACAAAGAGCAATAAGCTTATTGTCAGTTATGAAAGCATTCCATTAACTTGTGTTAAGACTAGATCCTTAAAAAAATGCAATATGAATGCGAAGTTTTGCGCATCAATTTCGACGCCTTTTTGAATTTCTCAGCAAGTATACATTATATATTTTACATGCATTGTATTCTTCGTTGTCCATGCAGTGACATATCTATTATAGCAATGGATTAAAGTTTGATTGAAACAAGGTTCTTAAATCAGAGAAAAGGGTCTGTAATTTGAAATTTATATCTCAGTTGATCATGTGGTTAGTCTTGTTCATTAACTTCTTATTTTACAAGAGTTGTTGAAAATTACTACCTGCAGTTTGTATGTTAAAGATGTTTCTGTTTATTAGCTTGCATTGTGATTTTAATTTTGTGCCAAAAGTCAAATTTAGAGATACAATTACAGATGCATTATATAAGTAGTGGTATTACGTTGATACAGATAGATCCTAGTATTAACTTGTATTCATACAAAGAACAGTTGTTATGTTACCTGACAGCACCTGTCATTTAGGGAGTAGACTATACTGACATTGAATCTGATACGATGTGTCTCAAATTCATCAAGAACAAACAAGTTAGTCATCTTAGTTTATAATAACAGAGTAAGTTTAATCTTTTTTTTGTAAATATATGATTTTTTATGATTTTAACATTATTTACATAGGGAAAGTTGTAAACCTGATAAACAGCATGGCCATACAGACCTATATAAGTTGAGCAATGTAGGTCATGGGCCTTTGTTTAGCTTTAACATAAATTGAAATTTACAATTATATCTGTGAACAAAATAAATGTGAACAACTTATTTAATGTATGCATAATGCATATAGAATTGTGATATATTGTACATATTAATGTGCAATTTTTTGGTAATCATATTATAAAAATATTAACACATCTCTTTGCTTTATAATTTTGCCAAAGACATAAAACAAATTGAGTCAGTGATCAAGTGAACCCAGTTTTTGTGTAGCTTACCTTTTTTTTCATTAAAGGCTTTGAAGGCCTTGGTAGACAATTTTGAGATCTTTTATAATATACTTTGTAATTGAGAGAGTAGAAATTTACCAGAAATGTCATAGAGCTAATTATAACCAGCATGAACAATAATTACAAAATACTGCCACTTCATTTCTATTTTTTTCATAATGGGTGAAGTACTGGTTTATGGTCAGTAATGAACAAAATTCCATCTGATTTTTTTCATTTTTAGCTCTACTGGTCAGAGACCAGAAGAGCTTATGCGACAGTAATGTGTCCGTCGTCCGTCCGTCCGTCTGTCTGTCTGTCTGTCTGTCCGTCTGTAAACAATTTTTCAAAAACGCTACTCCTCCTACAGTTTTTGTCTGATTTCAATATAACTTGGCACACAAGTAGACTACACTAAGATACATAATTCTGTGTATCGGTTTTTGATTTCGATGAACGGTATTGCTGTTGTTACTAAAAATAGAAATTTTTGTGAAAATCATTTAAAATGCTACTTCTCCTCCAGTTTAAGTCTGATTTCCGTATAAGTTGGCACACAAGTAGACTACACTAAGATACATAATTCTATGTATCGGTTTTTGATTTCGATGAACGGTGTTGCTGTGGTGACTAAAAATAGAAATTTTTGTGAAAATTATTTAAAATGCTACTTCTCCTACAGTTTAAAGTCTGATTTCAATATAACTTGGCACACAAGTAGACTTAACTAAGATACATAATTCTCTGTATCAGTTTTTGATTTCGATGAACGGTGTTGCTGTGGTTACTAAAAATAGAAATTTTTGTGAAAATCATTCAAATTGCTACTCCTCCTACAGTTTTGGCCTGATTTCAATATAACTTGGTACACAAATAGACTATACTGAGATACATAATTCTGTATATCGGTTTTCGATTTCGTTGAATGGTGTTGCCGTTGTTACTAAAAATTTGTGAAATACATTCAAAATGCTACTCCTCCTACAGTTTTAATCTGATTTCAATATAACTTGGCACACAAGTAGACTACACTAAGATACATAATTCTATTTATCAGTTTTTGATTTCAATGAACGGTGTTGTCATGGTTACTAAAAATAGAAATTTTTTGAAATACATTCAAAATGCTACTTCTACTACAGTTTTGGTCTAATTTCAATATAACTTTACACACAAGCAAACTACACTGAGATACATAATTATCAGTTTTGTGTTTTGGATTTTGATTTATGTTGCCATAGTAATTTAAATTGAAAAATCTGTAAAATTTTATGAAAAGCTTCTCCTACAGTTGTAGTCTTATTGCAATCTTGCCTCAAAAAGAGACTTAATCAAGGATCATTAATCTATTTATTGCTCTAGCCTGTAAAGTTTTAAGTCCCACCTGCTACTTTTCTCTTTCTTTATTATAAGTACAAACCAGTAGAGCTACAGTCTTGACAGAGACTTCTGGTTATATTCAAGCCTCAGTTACAAATATCCAGTTTGGTTGCAAAGAACATACTTTCTATGTGTAGGAAAATTTTGATAAGGCCATCTTTGAAATGTTTGCTTGCCCTCTCCCGACTTGGGGTAAAATTATTGAGTCAGTAGGTAGGGGGGATCTTTTTCCACAAAATTTCAACATATTTGATTATGGGATGAAAGGTATAAAATGAAAAAAATATTGTGTCCTGGAATGTAAAGTTTGGAGTCGCACCAATATTGGCCAATTGGTTGAGAGAGGTCTTCCAAACTATTTTTCAAAAGGCCTAATTTGTGATATTTTTTCTTTCTGTACTTGTCATTAGTTGCATTCTCTGTTGATATGAATTGTCTTAATGGTTGAATAAATGAATGATGCCTAAATGTTGATTGTAAATGAATAAATGAATGATGCCTAAATGTTGAATGTAATGACACTCGAGAATTGAACATGATTTACAATGTTATTCTAGATTTTTTTGGATTTGCTTCATTGGTATGGTCATCATATGATATGAATGTGTCTAAGTATGGCAGCATCATTATATATTTCTGTGTATTTGACTAAATGACCACAGAATTGTTAGCCACAGTCTTCTGTTTCACTTGAAGCTCACTTTGTGTATAAGTTACAGTGTATATTAATTCAGTTTTTGATGAACTATAAAGGCAAGCATAAGCTAACTGATTGATTTCTAAACAATTGCACAATACTGTTTTATTTTATAATCTTTAAAAAGACCTTGCACATTTTTAGGAATATGCTAATTTGGGGATTTACCTTTAGTTAATGAGGAGGTTTAGCAAACCAGTATTTATATGTATGTTAACTTATGAATGTATCAGGCGATTCCCCTGACCTGAATTGGTAACACCCCCCCCCCCCCCCCCCCCCCAAAAAAAAAGATATTGTAAATTTTTGCAGATTTCTGTCATTTTTATCCCACTCAACTTTTTTTTTCAAGGAAGAACAGAAAAAGGTTGCATTGATTTGTGATGTTGGGAAAGAATATTCTGTCCTGGAAGGTCATAGAAATAAATGCTCTGACTCAATGCTAGTCTCTCTTCCTCTTTTCAGAATCTATTAAGATGCACATGCATATAAAGCATTAAGAAGTACATGTTATGATTGCTAAACAATTAAAGTTATGTGAAGTATCAATATAATGTGTATTTTTAATGATCTAAAGACACATAGTACCTGTATACATACATATATAAATACTTTGGTTTTCTA